GCGTCTGACGCCCTGCACTAGCACTAGCTGCTCCATGGTAAGCTGGCAGATCTGTGGCTGCATCTCATGCAGCTCCACCATGCGTGTCCTAGTAGTTGCTTGCTTCCTGCTCTTGTGCTGTGTTGAACTCCTTCGTCTTGGAACAACGGCTGCCCGCGGACAACAGCAGCTGTAGCACTTCAGCAAGTGCAGTCCAATTGCAGCAGCATCTGCTGGCACACGTCAGCAGCATAAGTGACCCCTTGTATGAACTTCTGAAGAATGAACTTCTGCTTCCCATTTCAGCTTATAAATGCTCCACACCCCACTCCCCCTCTCACTCATGTGTTTGCGATCATGCACGTGTGCAAACACATGAGTGAGGCGTGTGGAGCTACGGGATGTCGGGTTGTGCAGCACCCCTTGAGAAGCCCGCTTGTGTGAGTGTTGCACCAGCACCATGGACTTGCTGACCACACGCAGATGTTGCTTCACGTGGAATTGATTCGACGCCGCACACGCGGCTGCAGGTGATGTCGCGTCCATTGGTGGGTGCGGGCGAGTCCTTGGTCATGTTTTTCAACTCCTTGTACGTCAGGGCAACCATGCGCACGCCCGTAGGTGCATATCCCACCTTGTTTCCAGCACCATCTTCATCCTCCGCTGGTAGAGAGACGCCTGCTGCAGGTAAGCCATTTGCTGCAGCACCTCCTTTTCCTTTGGCTGCATCGACCATAGCAGCTGCATCATGTCCAGGGAGATCATGTTTTCCAAAATTTGGTCCATAGTCATTTCCTTCTCCCCCTGAAGTCCTCACCACAACCTGGGGTGAGACTTCATTCGCTTGCTGCTGGTGTCCAAACGAAGTCCCAGTGTCCAGCAGCATGTCATCAACGTTACGTGTCATGTTCCTCACGACACGAGCCATGTGCGCAATACGGTCGGTGACGGATGCAGGAGCAGATTGACCTTTCAATCCTCCATGGTCATGCGCATTCAATGGTGCATCCTCATGAGTATGTCCAGATTCATGGGCAAAAGCAAGTGTTGGCTCATATTCCACAATGAGCACTCCTTGCACGTTCTTGCCTAGCCCAATCCGTACACCCCCATCTCCATCAGGCATGGAGATTTCTGTGGCTGCATCTCATGCAGCTCCACCATGCGTGTCCCAGTAGTTGCTTGCTTCCTGCTCTTGTGCTGTGTTGAACTCCTTCGTCTTGGAGCAACGGCTGCCCGCGGACAACAGCAGCTGTAGCACTTCAGCAAGTGCAGTCCAATTGCAGCAGCATCTGCTGGCACACGTCAGCAGCATAAGTGACCCCTTGTATGAACTTCTGAAGAATGAACTTCTGCTTCCCATTTCAGCTTATAAATGCTCCACACCCCACTCCCCCTCTCATTCATGTGTTTGCGATCATGCACGTGTGCAAACACATGAGTGAGGCGTGTGGAGCTACAGGATGTCGGGTTGTGCAGCACCCCTTGAGAAGCCCGCTTGTGTGAGTGTTGCACCAGCACCATGGACTTGCTGACCACACGCAGATGTTGCTTCACGTGGAATTGATTCGACGCCGCACACGCGGCTGCAGGTGATGTCGCGTCCATTGGTGGGTGCGGGCGAGTCCTTGGTCATGTTTTTCAACTCCTTGTACGTCAGGGCAACCATGCGCACGCCCGTAGGTGCATATCCCACCTTGTTTCCAGCACCATCTTCATCCTCCGCTGGTAGAGACGCCTGCTGCAGGTAAGCCATTTGCTGCAGCACCTCCTTTTCCTTTGGCTGCATCGACCATAGCAGCTGCATCATGTCCAGGGAGATCATGTTTTCCAAAATTTGGTCCATAGTCATTTCCTTCTCCCCCTGAAGTCCTCACCACAACCTGGGGTGAGACTTCATTCGCTTGCTGCTGGTGTCCAAACGAAGTCCCAGTGTCCAGCAGCATGTCATCAACGTTACGTGTCATGTTCCTCACGATACGAGCCATGTGCGCAATACGGTCGGTGACGGATGCAGGAGCAGATTGACCTTTCAATCCTCCATGGTCATGTGCATTCGATGGTGCATCCTCATGAGTATGTCCAGATTCATGGGCAAAAGCAAGTGTTGGCTCATATTCCACAATGAGCCCTCCTTGCACGTTCTTGCCTAGCCCAATCCGTACACCCCCATCTCCATCAGGCATGGAGATTTCTGTGTCTCCACCATCGTTGGTGTAAATCCGAGCTCCTTTTTGCAGCAGCTGACAGTAAGAGAGGAGATTAGACTTCAAACCAGGTACGTAGAGCACGTCGGTGTAGCGCACCGTTGTCCCATCGCTTGCATGTACTCTGATTGTGCCCACCATTGAGCTGTTCAGAGTGCTCCCATCAGCAAGCTCCACTTGTATTGGTTTGTCCAACTCTATCAAACCTTCAAACCATTGTTTATCCGAAGTCATGTGCTGGCTGCATCCGCTGTCCAGCAACCATAGAGAACCTCCAGAGCTTGGTGAGGTCGTCTGTGATGATCAAACCGTCGCAATGCATGTAACCGTCCGTTTGTTGTCTTTCCCGGCTGCCCCTTGCTGCTTTATCGTGTTGTCACGTTTGGGGCTGCCACTCTTTCGAGGAGAGGTCGAACGGCTGTTGCTGGTACGTCGGTTGGTCTTCCTGTTTTGTTGTTCCCACCTCGGTGGTGACCATCCTGGTGGTGCCGTGGGACACTTGTAGAACGGGTGGCCCAGTTGCTTGCAAAACCAGCACATGAGAGTTGAGCGTCCGCCCTTTCCATCATTGCCCTTCATTTTCTCTCCGTACGTCACTTGATGTCCTCCGTTTGAAGTTGCAGCATTCATGGTCCCGGTTTTCTCTGTTGCATGTGATATGTTGATGCGCGGTTGACCAACCATGCGTTATTTCCCGCCGTTTTGATCGTAGGAGTGATGCACATCCGCGTGATCACACCGCAAATCACCATTTGACGGCATCCCATGACCCGTACACTCCATGCCCCATGCAGGATCCACTCCCATTAGTGGACGACGCGCGCGAGGAGGTATGATGCTGTCTTCAAGAAGGTGAGATCTGATCATTACGGGGGCTCCAGTGGTACGAGAGTTACCGTATCACCCCGGATAAAAGCGCAGGCCTATGATAAGTGCATGCGCTACTATCTGGAGCAATGCGCTTATGGCCGATCCTCAATTATAAGGGCACCCCATTTGAAAACTTAACTTATTATAAGCGCAAGTACAATTTTAAAATAGAATTTCTGTTCAAAACGATAGCGAATTTCGTTTTTGAAGCGAGTACAATCTCATTTTCGCTTAGCTTGACTCTCGAAGACCTGACTGGCTACGCGTCCAGTCAGGATGTGCTGGCATGACTGCAAAGTCTTGCATCTTGGCCCCTGTGTGCTGGAAGAGAATCGCTTGCACGCGATTCTGTTTTGTGACGCGAAATGATTCGACTCGGTTGAAATGGCAAGAGTGAAATATGCAATTTGGTGTCTTAAAATCATAAATTTGTATATGTCTTTATATAAGCGCATGCGCTTATAAAAATGACTCAATTAGAAGCGCACCCCCCTAAAAAACACTGTTTTATTATAAGCGCACCTGCGCTTTTATCCGGGGTGATACGGTAGTGGCAAAACGTCGAAGTAGGGGAGCACCAATAGCGTAGGACCCAAGTCTTACACCTTCCACGTCCACATTGTCCAATTTGCCACTCCCTTCACCAATTTGCATGTTGAACTTTGCTCTCAATGTCAGTAGATCTGCACTGTGGATGCCCGATTGATCCTGGAGAGGGTTACAGGCGCGTTCGCCTGGGGGGTTATGGGCGCACTGACCCGCTACTGAAACAAGCCCTTTTATCCCAATGGTCTAGTGGTTGGGATTCTGACATGGTATCAGAGCGGTCTCGGGTTCGATTCCCGGTGTATGCACATGCAGGCCGTTGCCGCTGTGCTTAGTCCTGGGCCTCCCAGTGTGGGGGGGTGTCAGTAGATCTGCACTGTGGATGCCCGATTGATCCTGGAGAGGGTTACAGGCGCGTTCGCCTGGGGGGTTATGGGCGCACTGACCCGCTACTGAAACAAGCCCTTTTATCCCAATGGTCTAGTGGTTGGGATTCTGACACTCAATGACGTTTGGAGTGCCGATGGTGCCCTTGCAATCATGCTCTCCAGGTGCTCGTGTTGAGCCATGATGGCCTCTTCAAAGGCCTCGTATGCAGCGTCGACTTCATCGTCGAACAGCGCCATGCCTTGATCCAATCGTTGCCTCTTGCTATCCAATATGTATGTCCAAATTTCGGCAGCATGCCCCCTATAGTAGCTCTGATACCATGCTAGAAAGGCATAGTGCCGGCGTAGCGAAAGCCTTGATGTATGATAGAATAGCAAGAGAGATTTGCAACTGAATGGATGCAGAACAATGGATTGGGTTGATTATGAAACCACACAGCAGGGTATTTATGCTACCAGCTACCCTGCCGACACCTATCCCTCCACGCCAATAATTGTACCACCAATAATGGTCACTCCAATAAAGGAGTACCAATAATTCCACCCCCAAACCTATAGGCTCCAATACTGCAGCCCCTACAATAATTGTACAATTATTGTAGGGCTTATAGGCTTATATAGAGGATTACACTAAAACCTAACAGCATATAATATTCTGATGCCTTATATTTCCAACAGTACCGAAGCGCTGTATTGAAGGGTGGTGTAGACAGACACTAGCTTGTGCGTAGACAGACTGGACTCACTAAAACCCTTTTCTATGCTGCTACCGTATTTGGAAGAACCTGCTATCGCTTGTCCTTGCATAGGCATCAGCGGCCAAGAGGGGCGTTCATGAGGTCAATGGCTTTCTCTGCAAGCTGCACAGGCACCATGGCGGAAATCCAGGGGGAAGTGGGGGGGTTGACTTTTGAGTCGACTCAAAAGTCAATTCTCTGCCAGCTGCACAGGCACCATGGCGGAAATCCAGGGGGAAGTGGGGAGGTTGACTTTTGAGTCGACTCAAAAGTCAATTCTCTGCCAGCTGCACAGGCACCATGGCGGAAATCCAGGGGGAAGTGGGGGGGTTGATGGGGAGGAGCAGAAGAGACACAGGGAGAGAGAGGAGAGGAGGCGAGTGAAAGAGGGGCGCTGATTAAGGCCCCTCCCACCCCACCCCACCCCACCCCACCCCACCTTGGACATGGTCTTGAGCTCTCGGTTGATGGTACCTTCTGGTTGACTCAGAAAAACCCCACTCCTCATCCCCTTCCCCACCCTGCCACCCCACCCCACCCCACCCCACCCCAACCCACCCTACCTTGGACACGGTCTTGCGCCATGGGCTCGATGGCCTTCCAGGAGAGCAGGCTGTTGACCACCAGTGGCCCCAGTCCCCCCATACCCTACACCCCACCCACCCCACCCTATCCCACCCCACCCCACCCCACTCCACCCCAACCCACCCTACCTTGGACACGGTTTTGAGCTCTCGGGCCATGGGCTCAATGGCCTTCCAGGAGAGAGGGCTGTTGATCTCCAGCGGCCACACCTGAAAGGGCGAGGAGGGGCGAGGAGGGGCGAGGAGGGGTGAGAAAGGGAGAAGGAGGAGGCAGGTAAGTCATGGATGGGGGCTCTATGGCCTTTCAAAAGAGAGGGCTGTTGATCTCAGCGGCCACACATGGAGGGGCGAGGAGGGGTGAGAAGGGGAGAAGGAGGATGGAGTAAAGACATGGATGGGGGCTCTATGGCCTTTCAGAAGAGAGTGAGCTGTTGATCTCAGCGGCCACACCTGGAGGGGCGAGGAGGGGTGAGAAGGGGAGAAGGAGGATGCAGGTAAGTCATGGATGGGGGCTCTATGGCCTTCCAGGAGAGAGGGCTGTTGATTTCCAGCGGCCACACCTGGAGTGTCAGAGGGGGCGGGGAAAAGAAAAGCGAGAAAAGGAGACGAGAAGGAAAGGATGCTGCTGAATGGCTTTCCAGGAAAGTGGGTTGTGTTGTGTCACCGTAAAGTGGCCAAACCTGGAATAACAACCATCTCCACACACCTGGACGCCCATCTCCACCCATCTCCACCCACCTGCACACCCATGACAATGACAGGCCGCTTGAGCCCCGGCACCAAGCAGTCCTCCCCTGCCGCCTCCACCCCTGCCTCCTGCATCAGCAGCAATACGGCTCTAGAGCACCCACATGCACGCCTGTACCACCTATTTCCACCGCTCTCCACCCAACTGCACGCCCATGACAATGACGGGCCGCTTCAGCCCCAGCACCAGACAGCCCTCCCCTGCCGCCTCCACCCCTGCCTCCTGCATCTGCAACAATAAGCCTCCATAGCACCCACCTGCACGCCCATCTGCACCCACCTGTACGCCAATAGCACCCACCTCCACCCATCTCCACCGCTCTGCACCCACCTGCACGCCCATGACAATGACGGGCCGCTTCAGCCCGGGCACCAGACAGTCCTCCCCTGCCGCCTCCACCCCTGCCTCCTGCGCCAACCCCATGCCTATGGGGTCTGGGTGCTGCTAGGGGTGGTGGGGGAAGGGGCAGGCGGGGAAAAAACGGAGCGGGGAGGCAGGGGGAAGAAGCAGGTTAACAAAAGGGGAGGCAAGACAATCCTCCCCTGCAGCCTCCACCCCTGCCTCCTGTGCCAACCCCATGCCTATGGAGTCTGGATGCTGGGGCGGGGGAGAGGAGAAAGGGGGGAGGGGAAGCATAAGGGAAGGAACGGAAATACAAAACATGCTCCACCCCACCCACCCCAGCATCCAGACCCCATGGGCCCATGCCACTGTCACACTCAGTTGACTTTTGACTCAAAAGTCAACAGACCCCATGGGCCCATGCCACAGTCACACTCAGTTGACTTTTGACTCAAAAGTCAACAGACCCCATGGGCCCATGCCACAGTCGCACTCAGCCTACCCACCCATCCGCAGTACACTCACCACACAGCCACCAACCCACCCACCAACCGACCCACCCGCATGATGCTCATAGCATAGTTGAACTCTGCCCCCCGTCGCACTGTCGCCAGCGGGGGCCCGCCAATGAGTCAACTAAGAGCCCCCTCGTTTGAGTGGTTCACAGCCCCACCCACCCACACACCCACCCACACACCCACCCTCACTATGCTCCTCTGAGTCCACCCACCCGCATGATGCTCATAGCATAGTCGAACTCGGGCCCGCGTCGCACTGTCGCCAGCGGCGGCCCGCCAATGAGAGCCACCCCCGTGCCCTTGGCGCGCCAGGGTGCGTCCGCTCTGAGGGTCTTCTTGGGAGGAGCCATCCGGTCTGGTGTGTGTGTGTGGTTGCTGCATAGGCGTGGGCGAAAGGAGGAGAGGGAAAGGAAGGGATGGGGAGTCAATCAAAGCCACAGCCGTGCCGTTGGCGCGCCAGGGTGCGTCCGCTCGAAGGGCGTTCTGGAGCCATTCGATATGGAATTACAATTAAAGCCAGCGTCCAATTAAAGCCAGCGTCCAATTGAAGCCAGCGTCCAATCGAAAAGCGCAAGGGACGCGAATTGCGCAAGGGACGGGACGGCCGCGGGGAAGGGACAGGCTGTGATTTTCTCACCCTCGTTACCTGCTCCTCACCCTGTCTTTCCCCACCATCCCCTCGCCAGCTAGCCGTAAGATGGTTTCGTACGTATGTCGGAATTTGTTACTGGGGCTCCTGTTACTCCCGCAATCAATCGCGCGTTGCGAAATCAAACCCAGACGGCAATGACGCCAGGCTGTTACGCCTCGGTACCCGGTTCTTACATGTCTGAGCGGACGCACGGAAAATGCGGAAATACTTTTGAAGGTTCTCGAAAACGGGCGCACGGAAAATGCAGCAACTACGCAGCGCGAAAACTGCGGGTCCGCGACACGTGGTGTGGTGAGATAGCAAGGGAAAGTATGGTCGTGAAACGCACTGCTCTGGTTGGCAGTCCTAGAGGATTTCCTCAGCAATAATGGATTTTCTTATCCGTGCTTCGCGTGTCATTGTGCATACCGAGTACAGATGTTCTGGCTTATAGGCCCTTCCTAAGATATACCATTTTTTCCATCGAGTAGATTTTTCATATATGTCCTAGGTATAGCCCCTCCTCTACAGTCCCGGGAAGTTTGCAACCTGACTGGGTTCATGCACGAATCAGTTCCGCAGCCAATCACAGGACCCAATTTGAACCAGCCCAAAATTCACGGAGAATGTAAGGAGAAGGAAGTTTCGTTTTCATATTTACATTTTGAACTGTTATTGTCTGTTTCTCTTGACTATGTTTGCCTTTAAATCCCGTCGCGCAGTTCCCAACGTGCTCGACAATGACAGGGAAAGACAAAAAAACAATTCCTTTCATGAAGGCCTCAAACGTAATTGATATTGTTTATTTCTGCCCGCTATTCATGCGATATTGAACAGCGTGGAGAACCGTGCGACGAGAAGTTGAAGAAAGCACGTTCCGAATGGATGTATATGACACAAAACAACAAATACTAGTGAAGAAAAACCGCTTCTCATGCAGTTTTACTGAAATGGGACTATAGGGTCCCGTTTGCCTGGGGTTTGTGAGTTTTTCCACAAAGGCCCGCAGCGCGTATGTTTTTTCACGTGGACTCTGAACAGGAACATCTGTAAAGTTCTGTTGGCTCGCCATATGAAATTTTGGCGGTGTCCGCCAGCACACGAAAATTTGAAAGAAAAACGACAGCATCAGAATGGCGACCGCATTAGAAAACGGGGACGGAACCCACCAAAGAGGTTGGGGCGTAATGCCACCCGAGAAATTTCCCATCCTTAAACGGGAAATGACGCAACCGCGTCGGAACCTACATCCCTATCTTACGTTCACTGGCACGAAAGGGGGGATGCCATCTGTATGCGATCGCTGTCCTCCGTGAAAGGGGGGATGGCGATGGCATATCGTGGGGAGGGATTTTTGTCCGGGGACGAAGTTGCGTCCCCGCTTCCATATGCCGTCGTGCAGTTCGAGATGGGATTAGTTCGGGGGCGTTCGCCAGGCCCTCAATTTGGTTATTGGTTCGGACGACATGAGAGGCTCGGCAACATTTTTACGGGCTGACCAAGTTGACGGAGCTTAACGAACCCTAACTGACGGGATCATGAAGGCGTGAGTGACCTTCCTGATCTCGTCGATTTTCCTTTCAAAGGTGCTGGCGAACACCACCGTTCTAAGTTGTAAAGAAAATGTGAGTGGTGGAAATTTCAATACACTTTTCTGTCAAAATGTTATATTGCTTACTTGTGTAGGTTATAGTGGGGTAGCCCATAAGGGGTACAGCCAAATTAGGGTTAGTACTTGTACCCAACTCTTTCATAGTTCATTTATTCTCGCTTACACTTTCTGACATGGTATAAGAGCGGTCTCGGGTTCGAATCCCAGTGTGTGCACTTCAAGCATCCCAGTGCGGGTGGGTGTCAGAGGTCCACTGGTGATCCCCGATTGATCCTAGGGAAGCGTTGTCAAACTTATATGCTATAGTCTGTGTAGGCTGTAGTGGGGTAGACTATATGGGGTACAACATTTCTAGGTTTCCTACTTGTACCCACCCCTTTCCTAGTTCATTCATTCCTCGTTCTTTCACATGGTATAGAGCAGGTCCCTAGTGGGAACGTTTCCTAGGGCCCACCACGATCGATTTTTTTTTTCCTGCCCGGAGCGCCCTTCGCTCCTGCCCGAGTCGCGCCCCGTGTGCCTGCCCTTAGCGGCCCGTCGCGCTCCCCTCGCGGCCTTCTCACGGCTCCCTAGCGGCCCCTACGCGGCCCTTCGCGGCCCCGCTCACGGCCCTTCGTGGCCCCTTCCAGCCCCTCGCGGCCCCTTTGCAGCCCTTCGCGGCCCCTTCTAGGCCCCGTCGCCGCCACTTGCGGCCCCGTCGCCGCCCCCTCTAGGCCCCTTGCGGCCCCTCTGCGACCCCGTCGCCGCCCCTAGCGGCCCCGTCGCCGCCCCTGGAGGCCCCGTCGCCGCCCCTGAAGGCCCCGTTGCCGCCCCTGGAGGCCCCGTCGCCGCCACTTGCAGCCCCGTCGCCGCCCCCCTCTAGGCCCCTTGCGGCCCCTATCGGCCCCGTCGCCGCCCCTGGAGGCCCCGTTGCCGCCCCTGGAGGCCCCGTCGCCGCCCTTCGCGGCCACCTCGCCGCCCTTAGCGGCCCCGTCGCCGCCCCTCGCGGCCCCATAGCCGCCTCTACCGGCCCCGTCGCCGCCTCTACCGGCCCCATAGCCGCCTCTACCGGCCCCCTTCGCCACTGAGCAGCCGAGCCGCCCAACAGCCGAGCCGCCGCGCCGCCCAGCAGCCGAGTCGCCGAGCAGCCGAGCCGCCCAGCAACCGAGCCGCCGAGCCGCCCAGCAGCCGAGCCGCCC